AAAGTTTCTGAATTTGGAGAGCCACTGATACCTTGAGGGTATTTGGTGACTAATTTTCACTCTAATAGTAAAACATTATATAGAAATATATACACACAAATTATGTTACATATATACACACATATTATATAATATATAAATATATACACTGTATATATATTTATATAAATAGTTGTATATTAATGACGGCCTGCTGCAGGTGGACCGTGGTGACGGAGATGAGCGCCAGCCGCAGCGCTGCCGGTGTCACCGTGTTTGACGGACGCATCTTTGTCTCTGGCGGCCATGACGGTTTACAGATCTTCAACACGGTCAGTTTAATTGACGACTTCTCAGAGTCAATATTTATTATATATATTGTATTAATAATTATTGTTTATGTTATCTGATAGGGTCATTATATGTATTGATTGATATTGATATGATGATTGATATTGATTGATATGATTGTTATTGATTGATATTGATTGTTATTGATATGATTGTTATTGATATTGATTGATACTGATTGTTATTGATTGATATTGATTGTTATTGATATGATTGTTATTGATATTGATTGTAATTAATTTGAATGTTATTGATATTGATATTGATTGTTATTTGATTGTTCCCCTCCCGTCCTGCAGGTAGAGTACTACAACCACCACACTAACCGCTGGCACCCTGCGGCGGCCATGATGAACAAGCGCTGTCGTCACGGGGCGGCGGCTCTGGGCAGTCACATGTACGTGGCGGGGGGGTACGACGGCTCGGGCTTCCTGAGCGGGGCCGAGGTGTTCAGCTCGGTGTCGGGTCAGTGGAGCCTTCTAGTGGCCATGAACACGCGGCGCAGCAGAGTGTCGCTGGTGTCTACGTCGGGGCGCCTGTACGCGGTGGGCGGCTACGACGGACAGTCCAACCTGAGCTCGGTAGAGATGTACAACCCCGACACAAATCGTTGGACCTTCAGGGCGCCCATGGTCTGCCACGAGGGGGGGGTTGGAGTGGGCTGCGTCCCGCTGCAGCCCGCCTAAACCCTCCACTCAGAGGCCGAGGATACATGCGTTACTGTTGACAGAGGACGGCGCGGCGGCGCCCTTCGTTGGCGTTCACTGAGCTTCATCGGTACGACGGCCGGGCTCAGACCTGCACACTGACGCCAGGCCTGTGGGATTGTGGGTAAAAACTGTAGAGCTAGCCTGTGGAGGCTAGCTGCTAGCCTCGTGTTTATACTTGATCTAAACAGGAAGTCACTTCCTCTCCAAAACAAACAAACAAACAAAGCTGCTGACTGTAAACGGGACGAGCGCTCGGATCTGTTTTCTGTTCACTGGACCGAATTATTGATCGGCTGTAATCAATGAGTATGATTGACAAACAGGAAGTGGAGGTGCAGACACATGAAGAAGAAACAGTGCGAGCTCCTCCAGCGCCCCCTGCGGTCTGATTATTGATCTGAAGCCTCATGTCTGTCTGTCTGTCTGTTGCTTATCTGATAGATGCTAACATGCTAACACCAACATATAGGCGTGGATTTGAATGAAACTTTCAGGGTGTTTCAGGTCCATATATGGACATATCCTGTGAGGTCTGTGACGGTTGTTGATTTCTGTTTATGTGTTGAGCCACGCCACCTCTGAAGCTCATTGGTCGATATGTTGAAAACTATTAATTACGGCGCCACCATCTGGCTGATGAGGCAAATGTTTGTTGGGAAGCACATCCTCATTATTTCCTGTTATTGGACCAAGTTTCATGTTTCTAGATAATTCCAGCTCACTCTGATAATAATAATAATGATAATAATGATAATAAAAGTGTTTCAGGCCCTTCTACCCCTCATAAAAGCTCATGTAGTCGGATAGCAGTGTGTTGAATTAGCTGTTAGCGGCTCCTGTTAGCATTGTATCATGGATGCACAGACAGGATAATCCTCTTTGTGGATTTCTGGACGTTTATCAGAGTTATTGATCTCCTCACTGAATGATCAATCAATATGAATATCTGTTTACTGTTTGAGTTCTCTCTTTTATCTCTCTGAGGAGGAAGAGGGGGAGGAGGAGGTAGCAGTGTGTTTACTTCCCCTTCAGCTCTCTGGCGCCCCCCTGTGGAGGCTTTATTCTTTGTCCTGCTGAACGTAGTTCCACCAGATGAAGCTGCAGTTCGTCTAGCGGCCACTAGAGGCTCCAGCAGTGAGTCAGGCTCCATATGGTATACATATATGGATATGTTTACAGCCTGTTGCTCTCTACAGATCATCTCCCCTCTTTAAATGATATTAAAGGTTGAAGTTATGCAGAATTAAGGGCGTTTGTCCTGATGGGGGAGCTAGAGGACAAAAGGCTGCTGTTCACATTTAATCAATAAAGACGTGATTAATACTTTTTTTTTTTTAAAAGGTCTTAACAATGATTGGATATTGATCTCCTGTTTGAAGTAGGGCAGCAGTCAATCAATAATTGATTGAATATCTGTGCAGCCCTACTCTTACAGCAAATAATCCATCAGAGTTTAATCTGCAGACTCGATCAATCAATGTTAATTAAACCATAATCAATAATTCATTCCAGACCTTTCAGCTGCCTCGTGAGGTCTTCCTCAGCTGTCGTCATGGAGACGTTCAGTTGTTTGTGATGAAGACCAGGACATACAGCTGAAAGCTTTGGGCTTTTTCCAGTAAGCACTGAGAGTAAACATTCATTGATATTGATATTGATAAGTAAACACTGATGTTACTGAGTCTGCTCTCTCCAGCTTCGTTTTTTTATGTATTGATTATTGATGATTGATTATTTTTTTCCTTAGAGGTTTGTGGATCATTAAAATGCTGCTGTTTCCCGACTGAACATCTAATATCTATTATTGATCATAATAAGTGTGTGTGTGATCAATGATCAATGAATGTTATTGATCCTTCCTAAGCCCCGCCCCTTTCCGAGCGTTAGTCCACTCCCTCCTGTCCTGTACTTAGATATGCTATGCTAGGCTAAGCTATGTTGAAAAGACAACCTCATTTTCAAGATGGTTAAAAGACAAAAGTGACAAAGTCACATCTTGAGTGAGCTAATGTTAGCAGAACACTAGCTCACTAGCTACTCGTTCACTGCTCATTTATTCCTGGACATTTCCTCCACTGAGAAGAAGATATAAACTGGTTCCAGCCATACCTGTGTTCAGTCTAATGATCTTAACATAATATCTCATAGTAATCAACATGAATTACGAATGACTTCTCTGTTATTTATTTAGGAGCGTTCTTCTTCAGGTAAGTTACCTGAGCACTCATAGGGTCACATGACCAGCCGTCACAGTCTTCATAATAATATATTGTAATCTTCACACATTGTCTTGTAATCTTTATTTAGTAACTCACAATTTTTACATAATGTCTAATGATTTTGACAAAACAGAAGCCGCACTAATCCAGAACCCTGTACAGCCTGGATATAGGGACCAGTCCAAGTTGGGTCCTCAGGTGTTCTGGGACCAGGTTTACCTGAGGACTCATCACATTCACATTCAGCCGTTTCATCAGAAGAAACTGTTCAGATCAGATCACTGCTGATTTCTGTTCACGCCGGACTTCCTGCACACGTCACCAGGTAGAAAATCCTCCAGCAGAGACCAGGTTCACCTCACAGAGTCCACAACCAGAAGGTCTCTGCTGGTCTTCTGTCTGCTCCTCATGTCCTCCACTGGGATCACTGTCCTGGAGGTCCTTGAGGTCCTTGTGTCCTGGAGTCCAGAGCAGCAGAAGCGCTGGCAGCCCCCTCAGGCTCTGAGTGCAGACCTGCACACCTGGACAGATCAATGAATGAATTAATTGTAATAGCTAACAGTGCCAGCAGTGGTCGCTCAATGAACTGCGGTCAGCGTCCTGTTGCATCATCAAAATGGGAAAAAGTCCGGCCAACCCAGTGACAAACACTGAACGCTGTACAAATAGACGACAACTCATATTTAGAATAACGTTACTATCTGCAATGTTCCTATATTTTTATTTGGGACCGTTAGTCATGCTACTAACTAGCTCGCCGTTTACAAATCAGCATCAGCCAACACCAACGAAGCAACCGACACCAACCCACCGTACAGCGACCGACACCAGACACCCAGACCCGTGAGCAGCAACCAACACCAGACCCACACCGTACAGCGACCGACACAGACCCACACGTACAGAGCCGACACCTAGACCCACACCGTACAGCAAACGCGAACACCAGACCCCACAGCCGCGACCGACACCAGAATCCACACCGTACAGCCAAGATACAGCCAGCTGGACAACCCCAGTTAGCTTAGCTACAGTTAGCTTAGCTACAGTTAGCTCGCTGGATGCCCACAACACTCTTGGCTAGTAGAAAGCTATCGTTAGCTTTGTGCTGTTAACATCATTTATTGTTGGCTAACATCAACACCGTTTGTCAGAATACATCAGTTAGCATCGTGGATCATGTTAGCTGGGGAGTTTAACGTTAGCCAACTAACATATCCACTCAGGTAGGATTTTGATAGTAATAATGGTTGTGAGCAAACAAGGTAATGTGAATCCTACAAAGTGAGTCCGGATGAAGCTCGCTGACAATATATTGCTGCGTTAGTTAGCTTGTAATTTGTCCACCTTAGCCAGAAAGCTAACGTTATCCAGCTGAAAGCACAATCAGACAATATGTTCCACAAGAGTTTTTGGTTGGTGTTGGTGGTGTTGGTGGTGTTGGTGGTGTTGTTGGCGGTGTTGTTGGCGGTGTCGGCAGTGGTGTTGGTGGTGTTGGTGCTGCTGGTATCATGCGTTGACTCACAGTGTCTCTACAGGCTGGAAGCGGCTCTCCTCTCCGTCCAGGATGCCGTGGTACATTCCAATCTCCTGCTCCAGTCGCTGCTTGTTGCTCAGCAACGTATCGTAGTCGCGGCGCTGCTGTTCAATCTCGCTGCGCACGTCTGCGAGCTCCGCCTCCAGCTTGGACACCACTGAACCTAGGTTCTGTAGCTCCATGTCGTGCCAGTGTCGGGCATCGGCCAGAGAGTTCTCCAGACCTCGTTTCTGCAGGACGACAACAAACAAACGAGAACACTCGTGACTCTGAGGGCAATTATTAATGAACTGATAAGGTTATTGATTGCTGTGCGTCTCACCAGCGCTCTGATGGATTCGGTCTCGGCCTGCAGACTCTGGATCTTACAGCCGGTGTCGTTACACTCGGCCTTCAGCGCCTCGACCTGCTCCTCCTCAGGACTCAGTCTGCTGCTCACGCACTGCGCCTCCTGCAGGGACACACAGCAAACACACCTTAAAGGAACAGTCCAGTACACAAGGACACCTGCGCGGGTGAGACGTCCTCACCTTGCACTCCAGGTAGCTGTCGGTCTCGGCTCGGTTCCTTTCCGTCACCTTCTCCCAGTGGCTCCGGATGTAGGCCAGGATCTGGTCCAGACTGGTTTCTATGGGAGCATCGGGTTCGTCCACCTCACGTCCCGCCATCTGACTGTAGAGGACTCGCACGTCCTGCAGGAACAGGAAGTAGACAGGTCACATGACCTCAGTTGAGTGATTGAGTGTATAAATAAATCTATATGATTTATTTACCTGTAATATTTGTTTGTTATTGTGGTATTTTAATGTGTTGTAGAATAATTCATTAATCAACTTAATTAACACATCACATTTTCCAATAATTCTGTTTCCTTCAAGTGATGATTGAATCATTATTAAAAAAAGTTTAATTTAAAACCCCAAAATCGAATTATTAATTCAATAATTATTCTTTGTTTATTTGATTTTGTTATTAAGTTTAAAAAATATAGTGATAGGTGTATAAATGTAAACAAATGAGTACATTTAGATTCTGTTAACACATAGACATTTAATGAATTAAATTATTATATGTTTTTGGTGCAACCTGCTCGTGGCTGAGTTCCAGGTTGCGTAGCTCCGCCCTCATGTTCTCCATCTGCTCCTCCAGCTCCGCCTTCGTCAGGTTGGCGTCATCGATCACTTTATACAGAGAGCTGATCTCCTCCTCCACCGCCCTCCTGAACGGCTGCTCGTTCTCAAACCTGTAGGACAGAGGGACAAGTTACTCCTCCTCATCATCCTCAGAGTGCAGTAACTACAGTCTGAGTGTGTTCTTCCTGACAGTCTCATTTATTACATCATTCATCAATCTGTATTTCTGATTGTTATTTATATATACAATATACAATATATATATTATTGTTGTACACTAGTGCAGTAATATGTGAACTACCGTAAAACTTCTAATAACAGCCTGGGCATTTATTAGCTTAAATTACTGATTACTATTGTTATTATCACTATCAGCTCCAATGGGCTCAGCTAATAATCCCCAGATGGAGTCAGGAAGATTCCCTTTGTTTTAATTTTCACATTGTTCTGAAATTCAGAGAAGAATTCAGGATTTACAGACACTGAAGCAGCAGCCCGGGTTCGAATCCGACCTCTTTGGCTGCTGCATCCCCCTCTCTGCTCTACCCCCCCCACTTGTCTCTGTCTATCTTCGCTGCTTCACTAATCAAGTAAGTGGCAAGTAA